AATCGATATCCATTGAAGAAGAAAAATTTGCCACGCCCACTCTAACGTCCATTACGCTTAAATCTGTCAACCGCAGGTAGGTGGCGCATTTTAACCTCGCTTTACTGCTTGCATATCTCCATTTTCCTTTGGTCCCTTTAGCTGAGTAACGGGTATCTGATAGTCGAGGTACTCGACTATAGCGTTCTTCCTTGTTTTTATAATTGATCCGAAATATATCAAAAACAAAGAAGAACGCTATATGGGTTTTCAATATTTATTGGTTTATAAGATGCAAAAAAGTAAAAACAAATCTGATTAATATTGATATTACAAACATTTCAATCTGATATGAAAGTATATCAGTTTGATATGAAAGCATATGAGTTTGATACGAAAGCATATCAGTTTGAAATTAAAGCACATCAGTTGGATAATAAAAAATACCACAATTTGGTCACAACTTTGATATGTGTGGTATGAAAATATCAATTTCATATGTTCGAAAATATGAATATGATATGGCAAAATAAGGGATCAAAAACCAGTTTTGGTATTTTATTTTCTCTGTGTAGCATGAAAATTGTGGGTGCTACAGGCTTAGGCGGTTTGTGGCCGTGGATCAATCGATAGGTATTGACGAGACAAATAAATTTCAGTTAAAATTTTTTATCTAAAATGAAAATTGTGGCAGCCACAGATTTGGGCGTTTTGTGGGCGTTAGAGTGGGCGTGGCATATTCGCGTGACAAACTTGCGCTGCGCGCAAGGCTACGGAATCTAAATCTGAAATCCCAATTCTCTATCTTTGATATTTTCCCAGATATCCTCGTTCATATTTACGATTTTTTGAAGTTTGTGGGCGCCTTGTGGGAGTTAAAGTGGGCGTGGCAAACAGATATTTTGGGTCAATCGATAGGTATTGATGAGAACAATTCATTTCAGTTACAATTTTTACTCTAGCATCAAAACTGTAGGAACCACAGTTTTTGGCGGTTTGTGGGCGTTTAAGTGGGCGTGGCACACTGCTTAAACAAACTTGCGCTGCGTAAGAAGCTCAGGAATCTGCACGCCAAATCTCAATAGCCTAGCTCTTATAGTTTCCTAGGTCTCAGCGTTCATCCGGACGGACGGACATGGCTAGATCGACTCGGCTAGTGACCCTGATAAAGAATATATATACTTTATGAAGTCGGAAACGCTTCCTTCTGCCTGTTACGACGAATCTAGTATACCCTTTTACTCTACGAGTAGTGGGTATAAAAACTTTGAGCCATAATTTTTTAAACGGTGGTATTTAGATTAATTATGTTAAAAAGGCGCGCAAAGTACGAGTATTTTAAAATACCTTTCTAACGACATATAGCACAAGCCTGTAGCTTTACCCATTTATAGCTGTTTTCGCCAAACTAGTTGAGAGGTTTTTATGTCCACATGGACCTAGGTGTTTTTAAAGAGGCAAGAAGTTCGCCTTGTTTCCTGCTGCAGGCTTCTCCTAGTGATGCCAGTACTGGGGCACCGAGGTATCTTCTTCTTGAGGTGGAAAGTAGAGCCGCGGAGTTACGAGTGGTGTTGATAACTGATTTATATACTACTTGGAATGTAATGATTGTAATGTAATGAATGTAGGTCAGAGAATTATGGATATGGTGCAGTTGGCTCGGCTAAAGCTGCAACATGTGCTGACTGCATTGGCGCGTCAGTGTGCCGTTGAGTCGGTAAGACGGTGAGTTAATGAAACATATAATATGCTGACCAGCAATTCTCATATTCTCCTGATACTGACACTGCAACATGTGCTGACTGCATTGGCGGGTCAGTGAGCCGTTGAGTCGGTGAGACGGTGAGTTAGTCCATTTTAAATGGCAGCTACATTTCAAAACGACCTGACGAAAGCTTGTGCATGGTTTGCTGAAAGTTTTTTTTGCAAGCTTTAGCTCAACCAATATTATCATTGACACTGACGCTACACACCTGAGCCTTGAGTCGGTGAGACGGTGAGTTAGTCCATTTTAAATGGCAGCTACATTTCAAAACGACCTGACGAAAGTTTGTGCATGGTTTGCTGAAAGTTTTTTTTGCAAGCTTTAGCTCAACCACTATTATCATTGACACTGACGCTACACACCTGAGCCCATACGGGCTAATTGTGGACCAAACTCTCGAAAAGACTTATAAAGTTTTTAAAGTCGGCATGCCTTCCACTAAAACTTGTGAAGACTCATTTTTGATAACTGGGACTTAACGATGACTACCGCTAACCCCTTGTGTAAGTTTCGGAGAACCTTTTTCTTTAATTGCGGACCGATATAAAGCTTTTGTAATAATACACATATCCTCAACAAACTCTCGTAAATCATTACTTGGATTCAGAACATCGATTTCTGCCTGGATATCCTATTATTTTTCACAATATGTTTCGAGAATCTGCATCGGAATTCAATTTGACTTGATTGAAAGAGATAGTTTTTTCTTCGAATGACTTTTTCACACGCCTTATTTCATTCATAACCCTGTCGTGTTTTTGCATTGCCGATAATATTTTTATATTTGCTTTGGCATTTCCATCCTTACACGTTGGTTCCTTGTATTGGCTCATTTTGAAAATTATTAAATTTGTTTTACTAAACGAAATACAAATATAAATGCCTGACACAAGGGTTGAATGGATTTATTCAGTATATGTTCCCGAATGCTGATGTATTAAATTTAAGACGGGTACCAAATTTTAACAAAAAGAGAAAAATATTTGCTTGGGTCAATTAAGTGTTAATAAATTCAAATTTGTTTTCTACGTATATAAGTGTAACACTTAAGAAAATGTTCCCAAAATCTTTTATGTGGATCCCATACGTGTTAAAGATGCCCACAAAACACCGCGAAAATGTACAACAAATTTAATTTTATTGAAATATGTACGTGGATCGTAAATGGTTAAGGATGGCAATCTTCGCTATAAGACTAAGAGTTGATTCCAGTGTGCGCAAGAAACATCCAACTGTATATATGCAGCCCCGAAGTTAACTGCACCTTTTTCCACCGATGCCTAAAAAAATTTATGTGAATTTGTTAAAAAAATGTATTCTTATTATTCGAACTTGTTTTATATTCACTGCTCTTTACTTTTCACTCGTTTCAACTGCTCGATTCGATTCTCAAATACGGACAGCCCTGCCTCGAGCTCAATGATTAATAACCAAGCCTTGGCTTGAGGGACCTATCTCAAAATTGATTAAGAGAGTGAGTCAAGACAGTCGAAAAATAGGATGATGCAATTTGCCAATTAAATTTTAAATTAAATTTTGGCCGGAAATTGGTGCTTATGTTAACGGTCTTAAGGGATCTTGTTTTTACGTTAGCGGACTTCAGGGCTCGCTTTGGGGCTCTGATGTTTACAATATCGGAGATTACTTTATGGAGTTTACTGTATCGGAATGGGAATAGTTTGGAGACGTAGTTGCCAGAAATAGTTGACCACGGATTTATCTCGGAGTCAGTCAGAGTTATTTGGAGATTGGCTCTTGGCTCAAATATGTTTATGAATTGGCTAAATAATGTGTCATATAACTTGTATAGCTGATTATTAACTGATCTGGAACTGGGCACTGGGAATGGAAATTAGCAGCACAAAGCCGTTTTTGGTGTTCATGTACTTTTTGAGTTGTACCGTTATGCGTGCGGTATACCAATTATTCTAATCTTCCACAGCAATTTTCCACACACAATATTTTGTTATATATTTCATGTATATGGGTTATTCAATTGGTTTTCCAACTTAAAGAGTTCCAAAATTTGTATTCTAGGTACTGGAGTGAGCACCGTGTTTTTTTTTCTTGAGAAGTAAAATCCAATTGCAACGCAGAACTGCACAACGTCCGCTTGTCGCTTGCTCTGTCCCGACCGGTCCCACTAGGGTTTCGGTCAGTTCACGCTGACAGTCAAGGCTATCGCCAGGAAGCTGCCTAGCAGTTCACTTCGCTTTCCGCCTACTGCAGACGAAAGATCCACCCTACCTTCACTCAATTTCCTGTCGCTCGTGACGTTCCTGCGCTACTCAACGAGTTCTTCGCAGCTGTCGGGATGTGGCTGCTGATGATGTTTACTGATGTCGATGCCGACGTCGCCTTCTCCTTATCGTTCTTGCTCCTTTTAGTTGAGTAACGAGTATCTGATAGTCGAGGCACTAGGCTATAGGTTTTATCGACTAGTGTGTTTAGAAACGGACAGACGGTCGGACAAACGGGCGGAAAGACGCACAGACGGCCGGGCAGACGGAATTCCTCCACTTGTGGAATTCCTCGACGGTGTAGTTGCGGTTCTGCACCATGTTGGTTAGACTATCGCTCTTCTTGACCTGCCAATCCTGTAGCTTCTGCATCTCAACCAGACCCTGGTCAGTAACTTTTGGATCTACAGCTGTACCTGGTACTGTTGGGGCCAGCTGTAGAGGTGAGTCTGGTCCCTGCCAATCCTTGACTTGATTTCCTCGATGGAAAGATTATTTTTATTGATAAGGTCCAGTAGGCGCTGGCGCCTACGGACAGGCGGACGGACAGACGCACGGACGGATAGACGGACATGGCTTAAATGACTCGTCTAATGATGCTGAATAAAATATATTCCTTATGAGGTCGAAAACGTCTCCCTCACTGCGTTGCAAACTACTGACTGAAATCATTATACCCTCAGCAAGGGTATAAAATGTACACTGAAAAAAACTTAGAAATTGTGGGATTAGTAAAATCGTAATCTCTAATTTAGCCTTATAGCTTCAAAAATGTTTCCGCTGGGCAAGCGATAGAGCAACGCCCACGGCATTCAGCTGAATCAAACAGGGGCTTCACAGGCACTACTAGAATCATATTTAACTCGTTAGCTTCAAAAGTGTGGGTGACAGAGGTACTGTTACCGCTTTCGCAACGTGCTCCGGTCATTATACTTTTACAAACCGGGGATAAACATTTTTTTTACCAATTTTCAGATGCATCTACGCTAAGCCATTAACCTATCCTCTTTCTCTAGATTCTATTTTAGGACTTAGCGGTAGAAGCTCCCCCCAACTAGACGCTTTGACTTCTGAATTCAGCGAGCAGCTGGTGAAGGATTTGCGCCAAGAAGTTATTACCTATAGTGAAGTATCACAGCCCAATTTCTTTGAAGCAAAGGCCGCTGAACTTCTTGAGCGTTACGCGGGAAGTAAGAGGGCTATTCTGCCACACACAGTGGGCCTTGGAAACTTTCAACCCTTAGACTTGACCGGGTTCGATGAGGTAAAGAACTATGCTTATCCTGCTGAGGTCAAGGTTGTTGACGGAAAGACATACGTGGTGCATCGTAATTGCACTGAGGCCACAAAGTTATCGGAACTCAGTGGCTCGGCGCAACTGAAACAGAGATTTCTCGACCATGGGCAGACAACTCTTCCTCTTAGCAGCACTACGACCACCATTACGCAAAAGAAGACCATTCATGACTGGGTAAGGGAGAACATGGAACCAAACGTGGTCGGCTACAACTCGGTGGTTAACGTGGAAGGCCAGATGGCAAACACCGCCCATTATCAAATGTCGCCAGGATCGGGCTCGACCGTGTCAATACATAGCTTTAATGAAACTATTACCACTAATACGGACGGATCTAGTTCCGTAGGAGGGTCGGAGTTGCAGCAGCGCTGGCAGCACGGAAAGTTGGTATTTGATCTGCGTCAGCCTATCGATAAGACCACAGTCCCGCGGGACGAGCAGTGGAAACGCGAGGAGCGTGAGAGGCTTTTCTGGTATCTTACTACGCCGCAACGACTCGACGACTGGCAACAGCAGGAGGAGGATCGTCTGCTAGGCGTTGTTCAGCGCTATGGGATAACTCTGACCGAGCTAAAAGAGTTCCACCGCCGCGAACTGGCCCGCTACCAGGCTCTTCTGGTTCAGTACCAACCCCAATTTCATGATATAAGCGGTTGGCAAAGGCAGGAGCGTGGTCGCCTGGACTGGCTGATCCACCAAAATGGCATTACTGCTCAGGACATGAAACGCTGGCAGAATGAGAACGAACGCAAGCTTGTCCAGGCGGCAAAACAGCACGGTATCACTCAGAACGAATTGCGGCAGTGGCAGACGAAGGAGTTGCAACGACTTTACGTCCACTTTAACCATAAGAAAGAGTCACTGGTGCCGCAAAAAAGCTACACCTTCCATTCATCCAGCTCCCTCACCGAGGATAACACAAAGGAACAACAGCGTCTGGATGAGCTAATTCGTCAGCACAATACTACCATCTCTGCTCTCCAAAACTCCATTAAAACCGACCAACAGCGACTTAAGAATCTTTCAATTAGGTACCAGGGTGATATACAAAGCCAGACGCAGTGGCTTCGCGGTGAGGTGGCCCGAATCGGAGAACTAATAAAGGACCAAAGCGAGCAGGTTTCCAAGATCACTGCGTGGCAAAGCTCTGAGCGCTCCCGTCTTAAAAATATCCTTCTACAACACCGCGGTTCTGTGGAAGAAGTGCATCAACGGATGAACCAAGACCGGAAGTACCTACAGAATCTGGCCACCAAGTACCAAGTGACCGTTGAGGAACTGGAGAAGTGGCAGCACGAAGAGCTGCAGCGTCTTCAAGTGCGCGGACAGCAGCAGCTTCAGGAGCACATCAAGGACTGGCAGGCCAGCGTAAGCACCAACCTGCGTGACATTGCTGCTAAAAACCAGCTCACCATAGAGGAGTTCCAGGATTACATCATTAACGACCGGAGTCGCTTGGAGAAGATGGCGCGCATGTATAAGATAAAGGTGGAGGAGATCGAGCAATGGATCAAGAACGAACTGAAGAAGTTGCAGTCAGAAGGTTTGCTTAAAGATGTGGAACAAGAGTTGCTTCAGTGGCAGCTGGCGGAACGCGAGCGTCTTCAGGTCATGGTGCGGCACAACACTCTAACCGTGGAGCAGTTGGAGACAAAGATCAAAAATGACCAAGAGCACTTCTTTCAGATGGCCGTCAAGTATAAGATCAGTGTAGAGGACATTCAGGACTGGCTAAAAAAGGAGCTTATGCGCTTAAAAAATGAGGGCCTGGTCAAGGCGGAAACGTTGAGGGACTGGCAGCAGAATGAGCGGGCCCAAATCATGATGCTTGTGCAGAAGAATAAATACTCGCTTAGCGAGCTTGAGCGCAAAATGCTGACAGATCATGCGCGACTCCAAGATCTTTCGAACACTTATAATGTAAAGGTATTTGAGATTCAGCAATGGATCAAGTCGGAGCTTGCTCGACTCCAACACGAGGGACAACTGAGAGTGGAGTCGCAGCTCAACAACTGGCAGAAGATTGAGCGCCAGCGCCTACTGGACCTTGTCAATAAAAATAATCTTTCCATCGAGGAAATCGAGTCAAGGATTGGCAGGGACCAGACTCACATCTATAGCCTGGCCCAACAGCACCAGGTACATGTGGAGGAGATCGAGCACTGGATCAAGCAGCAAATTCAAAAGTTACAAGACCAGGGCCTGATTGAGATGCAGAAGCTACAGGACTGGCAGGTCGAGTGGCGCGGTAATCTTACCAACATGGTGCAGGATCGCGACTACACAGTAGAGGAATTCCACAAGTGGCTGCTTAAGGATCGCGCTCAATTGCAGAGTTTGGCTATGCAACACAACGTGCAGATTGAGGAGATTGAGCAGTTTGTTCAAAAGGAGGAGCAACGCTTCATCGGAATGGGTCTATTAAAACCCAGTGAAAAGCTGACTAACTGGCAGGAGGTAGAGCGTTTGCATCTCAAGAACTTGGCCCACCAGCAGTACAAGTCTACAGAGCAGTTAGAGGCCCGCCTGAGACAAGATCGACAACTTCTCGAAGGCTTGGCCCGCCAGTACAGCGTCCAGGTGGAGGAAATCGAGCTGTGGATGAAGCAGGAGCTGGCGCGCATGCGTGATGAGGGCAAGCTTCAAATCGACAACCTAACCTCTTGGCAGCTGGCGGAGCGCGAGCGTTTGGAGGACCTCATCAAGAAAAACAAGCAGTTGAGCGCCGAAGAGCTTAGAGCCGAGCTGGAAAAGGATCGTGAACACATGCAGACAATGGCTTTCCAGTACCACACATCAGTCGAGGAAATCGAGAAGTGGCTTCAAAGCGAAATTGAACGACTGGAGCAGCAGGGAAAACTGAACATCGAACAACTGACTTCTTGGCAGCGTACCGAGCAGCAACGTATCCTTTCGCTACTCCAGCAGCATTCTAACATAACCTTGGAGCAGTTCCAAGCCAAGGTGGGTATTGTTACTTTTCTGAGGTTTTTAGTATTCTTAATTAACTATTAAAATAATAATTTTATAAATCTCTAATTCTGGTTTAAATTGTACTGGGCAATGTTTTTTATTTGATCTATGATTATTTTTATACCCGTTACTCGTAAAGTAAAAGGGTATACTAGATTTGTTGGAAAGTATGTACATATATTCTTGATCAGGATCACTAGCCGAGTCGATCTAGCCATGTCCGTCTGTCCGGATGAACGCTGAGATCTCGGAAACTATAAGAGCTAGGCTAGATTTGGCGTGCAGATTCCTGAGCTTCTTACGTAGCGCAAGTTTGTTTCAGCAGAGTGCCACGCCCAATCTAACGCCCACAAACCGCCCAAAACTGTGGCTCCTACAGTTTTCATGCTAGAATAAAAATTGACCCAAAAGTTTGCCACGCCCACTCTAACGCCCATAAGCCGCCCAAGCCTGTGGCGCCCACAATTTTTATGCTAGATAAAACATTTTAACTGAAATGTATTGGTCTCGTCAATACCTATCGATTAGTCCAAAAAAATTTGACACGCCCTTTCTAACGCCCATAACGCTTAAATCTGTCTACCGCCGGCAGGTGGCGCATTTTAATCTCGCTTTGCTGCTTGCATATCTCCATTTCCCTTTGGCCCCTTTAGCTGAGTAATGAGTATCTGATAGTCGAGGTACTCGACTATAGCGTTCTTTCTTGTTCCTATTTTACTTTGAGTGTTTTGCATTGCATTGTTGTTCGAAATTGATTCACATTTTAAGGTGTTTTTACTAATTAATCAATCTGCACCGATTGTAATAAGTAATCGAAAACGTAAATACCGCTTGACTCTCTTGATTTGGAATTAGTACAAGCATCCGTTTAGCTCCAACCTTCGATTTCGTTCGAACTTTTCATATCCACGTTTTTTTCGGGTTTAGGTTCCGACTTTTGAAATGCCTTGTACTATATTTATTATTTAATATTATTGTTGAACTTTGGCCCAACGACACCAAGCACGTGTTCGCTAAGCGCAGGGCTCATTTTTCATTTCGTGCGAATACGGTTTGCGTGGAACTGTCAACATTTTTTTGTTAGTTCCATGTATTACAATAGATGACAATTCGAGCAGGTAAGTGGTGGTCGATCTTCGCATAACAAAACCATAATAACACGGTGATCTCATCGAATAGCAAAAATGTTGCAAATATGATGTAATATTTCATTCAAATTCCATCAGGAATTGCAGACTATTTAGAGATGCTTTTATAATTCTGGACAGCCACCTCACATCGTGATGGATGGCATACCTGACTTTTTGTACTTCCTATAAGAGTTTGTTTTAAGGGTTTTAAGTCTTTGCAGCGCATTGGTAAACCAAGACTAGCAGGAATGCACGCACTAAAAAAGAGCTTAGGACACTATATAAGTGTTCAGTAGCTTCTTCAATATCCATGCAACTATATAAATTTGTCCAATTAAATGGGTGTATTATAGTCACATTAACGGAACCATTAGTGATTTAGTGAATTACGTAAAAATCTTACTTGCTGTCTTGATAATTCTAACAGACCATCAACAAAGTCATGGACAGATAAATCTGTAAAGACATGTGAGTCAATGGAAGGGGACCAAAAAAGTGAGGGAGATTGAAATCACCCAAAACAATCAAGAGATCCCTGACAGAAAGATGAGTAAGAATATTTTTTATTGCAGACAAATGCTCCTAAATTATAAGTTCGGATCCAGGTGGAATAGAAGAACAGGTTACAAAAATAGATAAAGATAATTTTATGTCGTTGGGGATTATAAAGTATATTCTCCCCAATGTTTGACTCCAGGTAACGGCAATCAGCACCCCAACCGAATTCCAAAAACATCTGCAGATGTGGTTTCGGGGGTTAGGAGAGACAAAAATATTTGCTTTCTTTATGGAACAACAGAGAGTCACTTTATTCCCCCACCAGCAATCTGAACATTGTTTGTCTGATTATCGGGACCATGGACTCCTACAGAACTTACATCTCCTGTAAGCACAGAAAGACCCCTTAGGCTTACTAGCGGAACCAGGGACTCCTTCAGAGCTTTTGGTACCTACATTGGACATAGCTGCCGTTACCGATCGAGTATAAAATGCTGGAAACTAAGCTAGTATTCGGGACTGATGCCTTCACTCCCACATATCTTACAGGAGCGGTCTTCTTGCGTTTGGGCGACCCAACTGAAATTTTGTATTCGTTTTAAGGTCCGCCTTCAAATATTTAAATTGAGCAACTACGTTCATAGGCTTATCAAAAAGTTTCTTAAAGCGATCATTGGTCATCGCCACGTAGCCATCCAAGTCACGGTATATTTCACAGCAAGAGGCATAAGTCCACGAAAACCCAACGCGCAGATCAATATAATCCTTAACATTGCCAAACAAGTCCAGTACATTTAGGATGTATGAATGTATTGCAGAGACGACAGTAAATACAAACGTCAAACGTCCAAATTGACAACTTTTCTTTCCAGTCCGACTTACAATCCGATTTGAATAATGTTTAAACATGGTGATCTGACAATTTTCTATATTTAAATGGCTCTAGGTGTAAGCTAATGACTTTTTGTCGCGACAATCCTATATCCTAATATGCGGCATACACGATCTTTACTTTTATGGACCCAAGACTAAAATTTCCTTTTCATATTTCGTCCATGGTGAATAATGCTGGGGGTGCGCTTGGCTGGGGTGCAAACATCATTTTACCTTTTTATTCTAGTAGATTGCTTCTAATTAACTAGCCCTCCCTAGCCAACCGCAGAACGGTTCTTGGAACAGTTTTTATTTATAACCTTATTCGAGGTGAAATTGATAGCCCCAACTTGGTAAGCCAGCTAAACTTTTCTGTTCCATGCAGATAAACAGGAAATAACATTCCCCTAATTTTAAATCATTGTAGATCTAACTTTGACCTGTTATCTTAAAACCTGCCTCTCTTAAAACGATTGTTATTAAGTTTTCTATTTTTCCTCGAACCTATATCTTTATTCCCACGCAAAGAAAAATATTAAATAATGTGGACGCTAGACGGGCTTTAGTGTTATAGTCGTTTGTGGGCGTTAGAGTGGGTGTGGCACCCTGCTGAAGCTAACTTGTTCTGCGCAGGAAGCCCATGAATCTGCATGCTAAGCCCCAACACTCTAACTCTTATACCGATTTGCTTTTACGACTAGTCTATCTGGTCTTTAACTTTTATCGTGCAGATAGCTATTAGGGACTTTGTCAGGAACTCAAGAAACTGGGTTAATTTTTACCCAAAACAAGAACAGGTCAAGTGTGTCAAAAAAATAATTAGGAAATTTCAATTTTATTGGGCCTTACAGATTTTACTACTTGACCGAAAATTTTGTTTGGGTAACCAAATGAACTAACATCGGACTTTAATTCGATTTTTTGACTACTTGGGTAAAAGTTTTCTAGCACCCTATGAAGAGATATTTCGTCAATAACTTCGACAACCTCTACGGGGGCTGCAATTTAAGTTCCTGGCCAGGACACCTTGTGTCAGCATGTTCGATATCGATTAACGATTATTTATTTATTATACTTATCGCCAATGGATGAATCCTTATCTGGCTACATACGATTACCTTAAATCTATTATTGAAAATTACTTTAAAAATATTCCCTAAGGGTTTGCCGTAGTATATCTTTATTGGCCCCCCAGCTGAATCTAATGCTAGAAGGCAAAGAATTAAATAATCTAAGAGCCCTTAGTAGTGGCTCATTGCCAGCATAATTAGTCCTGACAGCACGGTCCAGAAATGGAACCATGGTACGGAGATTCCTGGAAGGAACATTAAAATTGATGCATCCCAACAGGCAAGGACAATCAATATTTCCTACTAGCAGATCATTCAGAAAAAGAAGGCCAGCAGTTGCACGGCGATCCTTCAAGGAACAAGTGTGAAGCAGAGAACACTGACTATCATAGGGCGGTGCGGGTTCAGTAAAATGTAAGGATTGCAATGCAAACTCCAAAAACTTTTTCTGCAACCTCTCAATCCTATTGATCTGGACACTTCCCGAGGGATTCCAAACAAAGGAAGCATATTCAACCCTAGAACGGACAAAAGCAGAGTATACAGACAATCTAGAATACGTATCTTTGAATAATAAAATGTTTCTCTTCACAAAGCCGAACATTGCATAAGCCTTTGGTAATATAAAATTCAGGTGCTCATTAAACAGAAATTTGTCATTAAATAATACCCCCAGATTAACTATTTCATTCAAAACAGAGAGAGGGTAGTTATTGATGTGATAAGTGGATGGAATAGTTACAGAACGTTTCGCATAACAAACGGTGTGGCATTTGTTAAGGCTTAAAGGCAAACTATTCTTGGAACACCAACTGCCTATACTATCTAGGTCAGATTGAAGCAATATCGAATCATTTACGTTACTGACAGTCCTATAAATCTTTAGGTCATCCGCATATAAAAGGAAGCTGGAAGAATGGATACAGGCACAAATGTCATTTATAAAAATAATGAAAAGTAAAGGGCCAAGGGAGCTACCCTGAGGAAGTCCAGATGTCGCTTTATAAGGATGGGATAATGCACCACCTACTTCAACATGATAGCGTCGGTTATCCAAATACGATGCTATCCAGTTAAGAAAAGGGGAGTGAAAGCCATGTTTGGAAAGTTTAGCCTTTAGGGCAGAGTGACAAACCTTGTCAAAAGCTTTGGCAAAATCTGTGTAAATCGTGTCCATCTGCAAATGATCCTCAAAAGCATTTATACAGTGATTGGTAAAGACAGCCAAGTTGGTCGTCGTAGATCGACCGGGCATGAAGCCATGTTGATTAGGTTCGATGTATGACTTTATTAAGAAAGATAATTTTTTGAAAATTATTCTTTCGAACAATTTAGCTATGTTGCTGATCTTAGCAATTGGCCTATAGTTAGAAATATCAAATTTACTTCTTCCTTTATGGACCGGCGTGACTCTAGGAAT